GGGCTGGGTCCCCGTGGGCGGGACGTTTCGTGGAACCAGGTTCGGGTCAGCGGTCCACGGGCATTTCCCACTCGGCCGTGTTCCTGCTCCACCTCCGCCTTCCGGAGGCTGAGGTCAGAGTGCGACGGGGGCCGACCCGCCGGGGCGAGTGTAGACGGGCAGTGACTTCACAGTGGGGCCCGGCCCCTTCCCTCTCTCGCGGAGCGCACCCCCTGCTCGGGAGCCCGGCGAGGATCGCAGCGAACGGAAGGGGTTCGAGGCGTGATGGCCCCAACAAGTTATATAAACAAAACGTGGGAGCGCAGGAGCAGGGACCCAGCCGGAGCGCCCGGGGAGAGAGGTGTTTTGCTCCCGTTGTTTGTGGCTTTGTTCCTGGAATGAGTTGCCGGGAAGGACAGGACCCGTCGGCATGAACTTCTGTGCAGAGAGGCCAGCCCGGGAGCCGGGGGAGCCGGATTGCAGTCCGGTCTCTCGGGCAGCTGACCTCTCGGGGACTCGGCTTCCCTTCGGCATTTCCTGCTGGCAGCCCCGCGGGCAGGGAGCCGAGGGCTGCGACCCTCTCGCCCAGAGGGTGGAACACAGAACGACTAGAAAGTAAAACAGGTTTCACAACACCACGCTCCATTCTTGGACTGTTCGTCTTCCTAAGTCGCAAACATAAAAAGGTTATTGCTCCCCACCCCGTGAACAGACTAATGGATCCTTCCTTCCTCTCTGCCTAAGACCACACGTGCACTGGGTTTCGGGTCATGTATTTGGGTTGCGTTTCTTGCCCTGTTCCGGGTTCTGGAAAAACAGCTGATCCCACCCTTGCCTTCCTGATGAGCATTGTTTTGCGCGTAGTGTACCATGCTGCCCTGCGCGTCCGTGCACGCTCTGTACTGGTAGCTCTCCTGTTCGTGGAGGCTGTTTCCTCTATTCTGGGAGGAAAACTGAATGTAGCCCCTTCTCAGATGGGACCGTTGCATAATGAAGAAACTCCTCAGGTCCTGGTGAGGAAATCTGGGTTTGAAGGCTGTTCTGTTCTTTATTCGTGGCTTTGTGACCTTGGGCTGAATTGCTTAACCTTTTGGATGTGGGGACCAGACTGAGTCATGTTCAGTCACTTCTGCCTCCAGGATTCGTCGTAGAGCTCTGTATTTCCCTGTGCATCCCCATGCCTTCCTACCTCCTGGCCTTTCCAGGCAGCTCTCTCTTCCTGAAGTGGGTCTGCGGTCCACTCCGACTCCTTAGGTGTCACTTTTAATTTTAGAGAGGCAGGGGGAGAGAGAGAGAGTGAGAGAGAGAGAGACATCGATTGGTTGCCTCCCATATGTGCCCCGACCAGGCTGGGAATCAGGATCAAACCTGCCACCCCTCGGTGTGGGGAGCGACGCTCCAACCACCTGAGCCACCCGGCCAGGGCCTTAAGTGTAACTCCTGGCTGTCCTTCAAAGCCCCTCTGCATGAAGCCTTTCATTTTTCCATTCTCCAAAGCTAAGAAGTATTCTATGCTGAGCCTCCCAGAGCCTCCCCTTTTATCACTTTTAAACCCAAAATTATAGTTCTTTGCGTAGATACCTCTTTTGCGTGACACCAAGTGCCCTGTGGCAGGATCTCTGCCCCGTTCACCTTTGTGGTCAGCATCAGCTCTGGGCCTCACGTCTGCTAATAGCGGCTCCTCCAGTCCTCGGTGGGGCCTGAGGACACAGCTCGGGAGGGACAGGAGAGGGGCTGGCAGGTCGCCTGGGGACAGGACATCCTAGTTGCAGGTAGTTTCTACACGTCATATGCAGGATAAACCCTTTCTCCCCCAGCAAGTCAATAGCAAATAGCCTTCAGTTACCTCAGATTGACGGCCATACCTCTGCCTTGCATGCACTTCCCCAGGCCCACTCCTCGGCTGCTGTGCACGGCTGCAAAGCAGAAGAACAGTGGCCAGAACTTGGAAGAGGACTCGGGTCAGAGTGACCAGAAGACGGACACTCCCTGTGCAGAGAAGACGCTCATGGAGGAGAAGGCCAAGTTAGAGGAGCAGCTGAAGGACACTATGGTAAGGCGGGCTCTGGGGGAGATGGTCAGTTGAGCGCCAGGCGAGTTCCTAGTTTGCCCAAGGACTGCGGCTGGGGCCGGTAGCGTGCTCCTGCTAAGGAAGGGACTAGAGCCCAAGGCCTGCGCGGCTCTGGCTCTGCCGTGAGACTCATGGTTACGTGCTACGTAGATTGCGTTGAGCTAAGATTTAATTGGTCTTTACGTACAAGGAATACCGGCATGGCTGTTGAAGCTGGGCCTGCGGGGAGGCAGCGGTTTGCGGACTCGGCAGTAATGTGGATGCATGGTCAGTTCCTTCAGGATTTAAGGGTAACACCAGACATGTAGGTGCTGACATGTTCCAGCGCCTTTATGTATGTTAATCCCCACAGGCTCCAGTAAGTTCATTGCTAATGTCCCTGTTTACAGACGAGGAAGCTGAGGCACAGGAAAGTTAACTTCCTAAGGTCGCCTGGCAACTGAGCGCCAGAGCCAGGGTTTGAGCCTTGGAGAGCTTGCCCTTGACTGCACTGGAATTGCCTGAATACAGACCGAGAACGGGGGTTAGAGTCACTCCCCCACCCCCCAGAGCAATCTAGTCCACTTTAAAATTGAATTGATGGGGCAAAATGTGAGATTACAGTCAAGTGGTGAGACATGGGGACGATCCCATAATTCAGATGCTTATACACAGTAAGTGTTGGAACTCAGCCATGCCTGGGCAACAGTGAAATACAAAGGGTCATTGATGAGCCTTTATCTCTTCGCTGGGATGCGGCCTAAACTCCACCAGGCTTATGGGAACCGGTGGGTCAGCCCCTGAGGCTGCTGGGATCCCCTTACGTTGGAAACTTGGTTAAGGAAGTGAATGGTGATGAGGCCGTCAGGGCCCCGAGAAAGTGGTTTTTCTTCTTCTTTCCCAGCTGTCACTGAGTAAGAATGGCCATGGGGCTACATAGACATCTGTCGCCTTGACGTCCTCCTCCCTCGCTGGGAAGTGACCCGGGCGTAACTCACTTCTAAGTTAAGCTGCACTGTCTGTAGTCCAGTCTCAGGCATAAGAATAGGTGGTGTTTGTATTTTGACTTGTGGTTTGTTGTGTCAGATTTGCTTTCCTATGAATTTGTTCCATGCTTTATTCATGTAGGTTTCCTTTTTCTTTTTTTAGGAAAAATATAAGCGAGCTTTGGCAGATACTGAGAACTTGCGGCAGAGGACCCAAAAATTGGTGGAGGAGGCAAAATTATATGGTAACTTCTAACACTGTATGACGCTGATCTGGAAAAATGTGGGGGTGTGTGTATCGGCAAGATCAGCCAGGGCGGGCGCCTGCCGGTTGTCGTCTTCCCGTCCCCCCTTTTAAGGAGAAACTGGAGTTGTGACTGGCACTTAGAATCGTAAGCAGGAGGCCTCCGCTCTCCACATGGAGCCTTGGTGTGGACCTGCGGGGATCCTGGCAGGTCGGCCTCTCTGGTGTCGTTTCCTTGGCATCGCCAGCACCACACTGGTACCACTGAGAGCTCCTCAGGTGCTGTCTGTGTTGTCACCTTTGAGTATTTGTCCCTGCCCTTCCCACTTTACAGTTGAGATGACTGAGGCTTCGTGACCTGCCACTCATCACAAAGCTAGCGGCGGCCCCGCGCTCCTACTCGCTGTGCTTATTAGCCCGAGGCCGCCGTTGGTTCCTGCGGGGCGGGGCCTTGGTGGAAGTAGGTGCCAGTGTGGGTGCTCTCGCCATCCCTGACTTCCGGTCGGCATGTGAACCTTTTTTTTGAAACCACAAAAATTATGTAATACACTGCCTTGAATTTTGAGTGGCCTTTCTAACGTTCTGTCTTCTGTTAGGTGAAGGCGAAGTCTTGATAACTCTTACTCCACAGTGCCCAATAGTTGCTAACATGGAACACGTGTAGTGTCCCAGGCCCTCGAAGCCTGCATGACCCTTTCGGTCCTCCCACCGTCACTGGGAGGGGGCTGAGACCCAGCGAGGCTGACCAGGACCACACAGCAGCTACGTCGCTGCCAGGGATGTGCCCAGGCCCTGTGCATTTTGGGGGGGCAGGGGTCGGGTGCTCTGCAGGAGCAGGCGGGTCTCCTGGACTGAAGCAGGGCTGAGGGGGGTGGTTCTGCACATTTTCAGTTGCCAGTCTTCACACCTAATTAGCCCTTGTCTAAACCCAGAAAAGGCTGGGGGGGTGGTATTTCCTTCTCAGTCAAGCCATTGAAGTTACAGTTTTGAGTCGCCCACTCAGTTGACATGGGTGGATGCAAATGTTCTTCTTGGACTCTGCAGGCATCCAGGGCTTCTGCAAGGACTTGTTAGAGGTCGCGGACATCCTGGAGAAGGCCACACAGTGTGTCCCCAAAGAGGAGATCACAGAGGACAACCCGCACCTGAAGAACCTCTACGAGGGGCTGGTGATGACCGAGGTCCAGATCCAGAAGGTGTTCACGAAACACGGCCTGCTCAGGCTGGACCCCGTGGGCGCCAAGTTCGACCCCTACGAGCACGAGGCCTTGTTCCACGCGCCGGTGGAGGGGAAGGAGCCGGGCACGGTGGCGCTGGTGAACAAAGTGGGCTACAAGCTGCACGGGCGCACCCTGCGGCCCGCCCTGGTGGGGGTGGTGAAGGAAGCGTAGCTTCTCTCAGGCTGTGGGTTGTGGGTAATCACTGGCGGTAACTCTAAAAGGCTGGTTCGTCCGTGAATACTCCAGACCTTTCCCAAACCTTGTTGGAAAGCTTCAGTAACCAGCGGCTAACCAGGAAAGTGGGCCCATTGCACAGCTGTTACTGGACTCTAATTTGGGAGCCTGTTGATTGATTTTCAGTACATGTTTAATAGTTCACATGCTTACAGAACAGGTCGCCACTGGGCCCTCGGGTATCGTGAATAATGCTACATCTGCTCAAAGTCTGATGACACCAAAGTATTTAAAACGAATAAAAGGTCTCTGGGAACTGTGCTGTTTGGCTAGGGCCACGCCATCTGCCCTGTGCGCCTTCTGCTTCTCGCTGCCATGCGAGCTCGGCAGTCCTCAGCCCTCTGCACCTCACTCGGGAGGAAAGGCAGGAGTTTAACTTGGTTCTTGCTCAGAACACTTGTATGTGCCTGGTGGAGGACAGGCGAGTCCATCTAATCGCCATCTGGCTGCTAAGTGACCGCCCTCTGGCTTTTCTTTGGAGGCACCTTAACCATTCTCCCCTAGAATAAGACGAATGTGACAGAATCAGTTACTCTTGTCCTGTTTTGTTCAAATACGTGTAGAAATGTTTGTCTTATATTCAGCCAGGTACTAATGACCTGAAGGTAGGTCCCTAGTAAGATGGTCTTTCTCAACACCCGAGGGCTGCATGCTTGGTAAATTTTAAATGTGAATGTTTAGTTTTTAAATCTATTGAAGAGGATTAAAGCCCCAATGTTTATTTTCCTACTTTCTGATAAGTCTTTTGCGTACCTTTGTGGCAATCCTTACTAAGGGGAGCGTGACTTGGCTGTGTGCCCGACACACACACGCAGACACGTGTTTGCTCCCATCCGTGCCCTGCAGGTTGGCGTGGGACTGGCCTGCTCCGGGTGGACGTGTCTGCCTAAGGACCGTGACAGGACCACACACCCGGGACCCACGGCAGGAAAGTCTGCAGAAGCTGGCCTGTGACTCGCCATAGGACCCTCCGTATCTGTTACAAACAAAAAACAGCTGCTACTGCCTTGGCCTAAGGGGTGCGGAGAAAATATGAGGCAATTTTACTTGGCTGATCATTTTGAAAGATGTAATATTCCCGTAATTAAAATTTCAATATGTATAATTTCAAACACTTTTCTCCTTCAAATAGTTTTTTGTAAGACATCCCAGAACTAAAGGCCGGGGGCCCCGCCTCACGCTGAGGGACGGGACTGGGAGTCGCAGCTGTGAGGGCCTCCCTTCCCTCCTGCACTCGCTGGGAAGGCGAGGCTGCACAGAAGTCGTTGCAGATCACTCCTGTGCGCGTGCAGCCCGCCCTCCCTGTGTAGAGCTAGCCCAGCTGAGACAGGCAGGTAGCCTGCTCCACTGGGAACCCAGCTCCTCACTAGCCTCAGCCATCGGTTCCCATTCACGGGGGACGCCACCACGCACAGCACATCCTCAGTCCACAGGTTCTGAGATGGAGGATTCACGGGGGACGCCACCACGCACAGCACATCCTCAGTGAGTCCACAGGTTCTGAGATGGAGGGAGACCACATAAAATGAAGGCTATTTTACCTTAGGCTACTGGGTACAAATGAGTCGAGTTCCTACAGCATCTCAACATTGTAACAAACATTTGAGGACCTGCATACGGCTTTACACTGGAAATTAGAGCAGTTAGCCATCCACGCTTCTGGGTTTGGCTTAAGTGCAGCCTGGGGACACGTACAGTGTAGACAGTCCAGGCAGTGCTCCGTCCACTGACAGCCCTTGGCAGCCCGGCCTGCTCCGTGGACATGTTTTTGCTGGTGCCTTACAGGGCGCAAGGGCTGGCATGAGGGTTTCCTCTTAACAGAAAGCAAGGCTGAGTCTGAAGAAGCTGGTTTGACAAGTGTGACAAGTGCCAGCTAACGTGCCCGTGCTGTCCCCCACCCACGTCTGAGAGCTGGCCCTGAAAGGCTGCCTCAGGCTCGTGGAGCAGGTGCTAAGAAGCAGTCAGTGACAAGCTTTTGTTCACAACTTGTTTAATAAGTAAAGGGCAGTAAAAACAGGTCAGCTTGAATACATTCCTGGAACGCTGCATCCAGAGAGGATTCCGAATAGCTGAGTTATGGAACTGGACTCAAAGGTTGGAGTTTAAATTTTGAAGACCTAATTCTTGGGATTGTGGTAACTTAACTTATGAAAATTAAATACAGAAATGTCAAGGCTCTTCGCTAACAGCAGGGGCAAAGACTGGCAACAGGAGTGGACGGGATAAAGGCAACCAATCAAAATCACTTCCTCTTGTAACCAAGGTAACACTTTAACATAAATTATACATTCATTGTGGTGTTTTAAAACAGCCACACCTAAATAAGTTCTTCACGCCATCAAAAGATAAGCACCCTCAAACCTCCAGCACCACGCATTCACTTGGCAGCTCTCGACTGGCCACAGCTACTGGGGCGCCTGCTTCTCCAGCTTAATGAAGCCTGGCAACCCCTGTATAGAAAAATAAGACGACATTTAAACCTCACCAGACCAGGCATCTGACAGAAAACCCACAAAGGATGACACCAGGTCAGCTAAAGCCAGCGGTTCTCAAAGGTTAGCTTGCACCCAGGCCACCTGGAGGCTGGCACAAAGGGCTCCGTGGGCCCAGGACTGGGGGCTGCTGCTGGTCCAGGAACCCTGGGTGAGGGCCACCGGCGAAGCAGCGGTAAGGCAGCACTGCCTCCCTCGGAGCCAGTGGCAACACCAGCCCCACGGAGGGCAGTCACCCGCAGGGGCGGTGGAGGTGGCCCTCACGCGTGACACCACCGCTCACACTTGTCAGCGAGAAGTCCTGGCTTAGCCAGCAAGGAGTGCCTCTGCCCGCAGGCCTTGCACTTTACTACAGCCGTACACAACCCACTTGAGATGTTTCCGCTAATGCTGAGAACTCTACCCTCGGGGACAGAGAGATGTAGAAAGAAAGGGAAAGGCACCGTAATGAGGTCATCCTTGGAAACGATGAGGGTCTTTTTCAAACTTCACTTTAATGTAACGTCAAGCCCAACATTCTGAGAGGTCATCTCTCCATCCCTGTGCGGGCCAGAAGCGGGCCAGGGGCCAGAAGCGGCCGGGTCTGCAGTTACCACCGACTCTAAGCGGGTCTTGGACGAGAGAACCCTGAGCAGCCCGGAAGACAAATGGCCACCCAAGTGCCACAGGAAGGTACCGTGTAAGAGGCCCCTGGAAAGACCTCTAGCGAGGGCTGGGCAGAGCCACGTCTGAGTCTGGGTAAGACAGTGACTCAGCAGCAACACAAGGGCCTTGGGACCAACGGCCACATGGGCCGGCCCGCCTCGCCTGGCTAGTCTGCAGGGTGCAAGGCCACCTGAAGGTCAGAGGCTTGGCCAGGCTGGTGTGGTCAGAGTTTCCCTGAAGAAGGTACTTGTAGCTGTGAGACACCAACACCAGAACACAACTTAGCCATGAACTTCCTAAAACAAGGGCTTGCAAGTAAAATGCACGTAAGTCCAAAGAGCAGCCAGCAGCTGCCCCCAGGAAGGGGCTCAGTCCTGGCCATTGCACTGGTCCTGGCTGCCATGCTTCCCATAGCCACCCTCTACACTAGGGGGCGCTGCCCATTTCCAAACTGAAGGGGGGTAGGGGCTCTGCCCAGCGGGCGCAAAAGGGGCAGTTTCGGGGTCTGGGAACTGCAAACTCAAACTGCCGCTGCCAGTAGCTAAGGGGAAGCTCATTTGGTCTCTGTTCGCTACCAGCCTCTTCCTCACGGTCCAAGGAAGCTTGACCCTGCCCTCTGGCCTCACTGCCCACCTGCCCCACGCAGAGCCGGTGTCACAGGCAAGGCTGGCAGCCGGCGGCCAGCACAGGTGTGCACCGAAGGGAAGGGGCTCCCCGGGCCGCTCCCATCTCCACATTCTCCACACTTAACACAAAGGCAAGCGTCATCTTAGCGCATTGCTTTTAGCACTGAGGTACAATATGCCTGCTCTGCTTCCCTCATGATCCGATCTAAGATTGTTACTATTGCTTCTTCCAGAGGACCGCGAGAACAACTTACATCCTAAAAAAGAAACTCAATTTGCTGAAAAACAACCATGGGGAAAGCGGTTGCTGTCCCCCCACCCCAGTCATTTGGCTCACAGGCTCCGCCCGCTTCAGGAGGCGTCCCTGGATATCCAGCCGCTCTCCGTGAGGAAGTTTAAAATCCTTTTCTTCAGGACCTTGTCCAGGTAGCTGGGCAGGCGGCTCTTGGAGGGGATGCCCTGGCGCTTCTGGAGGTGGTCTTTGATGATGATGGTCTTGGCGGTCACGTAGCGCGCGGGGCTCAGGTTCAGGGAGCTGCAGAGCGCCTTCTCGCGGTCCGACAGCAGCTCGAAGCCCGGCAGGTTCTCGATGGCGGCGAACTCGCCGTCCTTGGCGTCCTCCCGCCCGCGCTTGGCGCCCGCCGAGTTCCGGTTCTCCTTCCGCTTCTCCCGCTTGTGCCGGGCCGCCTCGTACTCGGCCGACTCCTCCATCTTGGTGATCCCGTTGCGCCGGTACCGCTGCAGCTCCCGGATCTTGGCGCGCAGCATCTTCTCCTTGTGCATGTTCTCGAACAGGTCGTCGAACTCCTTGCAGGACATGAACTGGTAGAGCGGCCGCAGCTTCAGCCGCAGCTCCCGCTCCTCCTTGGTGATCTTGCGCTTGGCCGCCTTCTCGCGCTCCTTCTTGTCCTTGCCCAGGAAGGCGGGCACCAGGTTGTAGTCGCGGGCGATGTTCTTGCGCCGCTGCCGCTCCCGGAGCTTCCGCACGTACATGTCCACGTGCGCGCGCTTGAGCTCGATCTCCACGTCGTCGTCGTCGTAGTTGACCGAGAGCCCGCTGATGAGCGTCTCGGCGTCCTGGTCGTACTCGATCTCGTAGTCGTCGCGCAGCGGCATGTAGCCCAGCTGCTGCTGCTCGGCCACCGAGATGTCTAGGGGAGGCAAGGGGGTGGTGAGGCTGGGAGAGAGGGGGCCTCCACTGGGGCAGGTGTGGTCGGTCACCCGGTTGGGGATGGTGTCGGGGATGCAGGCCTTCCCCAGGTTGCCGTGGATGTACATGCTTACGTAATGCTCCATCACTTCCTGGGGAGTCCGGGAGGCCCCTACGTGAGCAGCCATGTCTTCCTACAACGACAAAGGTCAGAGTCATTCCCAAAGCCAGAGGTCAGACTCAGGGTCTGACAAATCCCCTCAACCTTTCCCCAAGGCGACCTGGACTCCTCCTGTCCCAGCATGACCCCTCCCCAAACAGTCCACGCCCTCTCCTGGACAAAGTGAATCCAGAGACGTGGACCCGGCGCAGAGCTGAGACCAGAGCCCTCCTCTGAGATCCGAACTGGCTCCTGGTTCCGGGAATAGACTAGCAGGGCCCACCTGGTGCTGGCGTTTCGCCCATTAGTGCTGCATCTGAGGTGGGAGGGTGTCTGTCTGTGAATGGACACAGGTGGGCAAGGCCACAGAGCACCGGGTGCCCTGCTCCTCCCAGTCTAACCTCTTCATTCCCAGACTAGAGAACAGGGTGGTCCAGAGTTCATGGCCAGGTTCCCTGGCCACAAGCGGGACCCCATTCTACTGTGCTGCCCGCCTCTGTGGCTGACACTCCCTGGCTGGGAGGCGCCTCCGAAAGGGGCGGACTCTCATTCCCGTTCTTCGTCGCTCTCTGAAGTCTGCAGGGCTGAGCACTCACTCTGCGAGGTCACCATGCACATCAGGGTTATTAATGGGAGGAAACTGTACAACTCCCTCA